AACCCAACACCTGCATAGAATAATATAGACATGTGCAATCCATATGTTACATGATAGTGAGCAGAAATAAATTTGTTCCCTGCCTTGCAGAGCTTACAATCTAGTTAGGAAAACAAACATATCATAAACAGAAGGAAAAGAAAAATAAGAGAAAGAAAACCAACATGAACTGCAGCTTAATGAAGAAAAAGAGCTGTGCTTAGTGCACTAGGAGTGCTTGTAGAGCAGAAGTTGATCTACAAGCAGGAGGAGCAGAAAGGACTCTTCATGATATTTAACAACCACCATTTAAAAGAACCTTACTAAAAGATGTTTATTATGGTTCTGGAGCTAGCCGACTTCCTTAGGGGAAAAAAAAAAACCTGTTTGTTTTTTTTTTTCTAAAGAGAAACAGCCCAAGAAACAAATGAGCTAAAAGTACTTCATACGGTTACAAACTTCAAATGTTGACCCCACCACCATCAGGGGGCTTCTCATGGCTCAACTACACTTTCAGACTCACCAACTACCAAAGGCCACACATGTAGCACCAGTCTATTCAGAGGATGCAGGACAGAGCCACACATACCTCCTGGATACGAGTCCTTACATGAACTTCCCTGAGCGACGGGGCACACAGCTGTCCAGAGCTCTTCTCTTTGCCTCACCAGATGACAGCTCAGATATGAAGACACGAGATCACACGGGGACAGAAGCGACCCTGGTTCAAAGTCTCATATGCCCCCCTGGAATGACATCACTTAGGATGATTCTATAGCTTAGCTTTAGAGTTCCTGCGAAGAACATGCCAGTGATCCGAGCAACTGTACTCAAAGAACCCCAAAGCCACAGCATTCCCATCATATACATATGGCCTATTTATAGTTTTTCCCAGTCTAAATGCAATTTACCAACCAGAAGCCATTTTTGGCATAAGCAATACTACCTAAATAGTTGCTTAGCCACTCATGACCCTATAAAATAGAACGAGAAACTTAACAGAAGATCAGCTTGGCATGTGGAATTGGAAAGGCTTTTAATAACCATTTCCCAACAGCTGACTTGATAACATACAATTGTAACATCCCTAAATGGATTATTCAGTTAGGTTGCATTGTGCTGGAGTAACAAGCTTCCCCAATCCCCAGGAGTCAAAAACAACAAAGATTACTTTGTACACATACATTGCGGGTCAGTGAGAGTCTATGCTTCATGTCTTCCTCACTTTGGGACCCAGGCCAAAAAAGGATCTATCATTAAACTATCACTAATCAGAATAACACTCCAACTCTTATACCCTTCGGCTCATGTTTTATCTGCTAGAAAAAGCCACATGGGCATACCTAAGTTCGAGGGTTTTCCCAGAAGTTTTAGAAACATGATATGGATGAATAGCTATAATATTACCACATCATATGAATCAGAGCTAATTTAAATAGTTATTTTATAAATTTTCATTCTCAAATTAAAAAAAGAATGGAACCCCTTAAATCATCAATGTCTCTTCTGAACTCAGAAACACAATAAAGCAGACAAACCAATCAATGTTAACTTTTCTTTATCATCCCAAGAATGTAACATAGAATATAAAAAAGGTAGGTAACTTTCCAAATTAACACTGGAGAAATGACAGAGCCTGGATTTGAAGCCAAGTCTGTCTGACTCCAAGGCCCATTTCCTTTCCACAGCATCATGGTGTGGAGCAAACACGGAGTGAGTGAAGAACAAAGAGTCAGAGGGCAAACTCCACAAGAGTAAACCAGAAGCTTCCCCTCCCTGCAGAGAGAAAGAAAGAAAGAAAAGAAAGATGGGACTGAAAGACACAAAAGTCCTCTCCGCTACTATAAGCAGATGGGTAGAATCCGAGCTGGACTGTTATGATGTGCATATTTTAAAAGGATCACTCTGGTGCCATAGAGAACAAACAATCACAGTATCCAGGGCAGAATGGTGAGGAAAGAACCGGAAAGAACAGTGAGGTGTGTGGGCTCCCTGCCAACTGCCTCTCAGGTCTCCTGTCCACCATTCTCCAGCTTGCTGTTTGCATAGGATGCTGACCAGTGTGAAATGTACTGCTGCCCAGGGGCTCCCAACTGGATTCAGCCAGAGGGGAACAGGTACAAAAGATCAAAAGGAGGAAGGAAGGTGAGGTCAGGGTTTTATCCACCAACGCCCCCCCCCCCCACACTGCTCCCTTCTGGCCCCTTTGGGCTAGCTACTGCTCTCTAACAAAGCCCCACAGCTCCTGTCAAGTGGCTCTCTCCACCTAATGTTCTGTCTAGGCAGCTGCTCCTTTCCGGAGCTCTGGAGCTCCCTTCAGGCCCAGAGGCCAAATTTTAGCTAGTGCCGGGGTAATCCTGATCCGTAGGACCCTGCACAATCCTTGGTCAATGGTCCTTTCACTAAAAGCTCCTCAAACGATTCCAGTTTCAGGGGCGCCACCTCTTTTCTGGCAGCACCCTTACTAATTCAGGAGTCTAGGGCAACAGTCCAGGTAAGAGACAATGGTGGCTTGGAGCAGGATGCTAGTAGCAAAATGACGAGTAGCAGTTGATTTCTTACTTGCTGACAAATTTCATGTCAAGCATGAACCCAGATTTTGACCTAAGCAACCAAAAGGATGGAGTGTTGTCAACTGAGATTCATTTTTTAAATTCACAAATCAACAGAAAATATGTGCAAATATATTAAGAGTAGCTCATGGGAAAGGAAACATTATGGCTTACAAATGCAAAAGTGCTTAGTCTTACTGTTAATTAAGGGAATGCAAATTAATATGACATAAAACAATAAAATGTCACATTATATATATTATATACATATACAAGACATAATCATATTATAACACTATAAAATTGACAAAGATAAAATATGCTGCCCTGGCTGGTGTGACTCAGTGGATTGAGCACCAGCCTTTGAACAAAAAGGTCACTGGTTCGATTCCCAGTCAGGGCACAAGCCTGGGTTGTGAACCAGGTTCCCCAGTAGGAACACGTGAGAGGTGACCAATCAATGTATCTCTCCACACAGATGCTTCTCTCCCTCCCTCCCTTCCTCCCCTTCTTCTCTCTCTAGAAAGTAAATAAATAAAATCTCTTTTTAAAAATGCTGATTAATTGGCATTGGCACCGGCCTCACAAAACACAGATGTGTAACCTTTGTTAAGAATAATTTGTAGTTATCTACCAAAACTTTAATATACATATGCGGGGTATTTTGATCTAAAAATGCCCTGCTATGACTTTATCCTACACACACACTCACACCACTACTGCATATGAGCTTTTCACTGTAACGACAGACTGGAAACAATCCAAGTGTCTATCAGTAAGAAATATGAGCAAAATAAACTGGGCTACATATACCACACAATATTATCAGTAATTTGCAAACAATGAAGTAAATCAATATATTTCAATATGGAAAGATCTATGGTATAGATATGGGGTAAAAGTGGGGGGAGTCAGGAGTCTAACAGTATATTCAGTATATTCCTATTTGTGAGTTGCCCTTTTGCATGAATAAGAAAATTCTAGAAGGATCAAAAAAACTGTTTAGAGTGATTGCCTTTGAGCAGGCTAGCGTGAGACAGTCCTATTTTTCACTGTATACCCTTTTGAACTGCTTGAAATTTTTTATGCCAAGTTCATGCATATTTTTTTCAATAAAAAATAGTATATAAAGCCAAATTTCAAAAGAGCAGAATAAATTATCTTGCACTGCACAAAAACCTATGGTGTTGACATCAGAAACATATCTGAACAGTTCAAACTATCAAAACTGAACTACAGTTTCTTCTTCTTAGTAGTCATATTTTGTTAGAAGCTACAAATGCCCTGACCTAGGATATGCACAAGGTCTACGCACAGGTCTTTCTCTATTTGTGGTAAACCTGAGCCTATTTACATACTTCTGGGGTTTTCCAAATGTCAGCCATGCATGGAAAAAAACACAGGGTTTAATGTAGATGGTCTCAAGTGGAAAAAAACAAACATGTGACCTGATTCCTATAAGAGCTGGTTTAATTAATGAGTGTTAGTGATCACGATGCCAAATGGAACAGTCCACATCATAATTCCTGTTTTGCTGACACTATAATTCCCAGAATGAATATATTTTAGAACTAGCAGGAAGTAGTAACAATATGGAAAAAAGAATTAATTTTCCGTAGGCTTATCTTCAAATATTCTATCAAAGCCAACAAACCAGAATCACTAAAAAAAAAAATGTAGAGCTACTGCACCTGGGGAATGCCACACTATTTCTTTGAGGCTTCTCTAAGCTTTCACAAATATACATAAATGTACCAGTCCTATATAAAGGAATACAGGATTATGTAATTTTATTTCACCAATCTAAATGTAAACTTAAAGTTATTTCTTATTTCTCATCTTCCTTGGGCTATTTTTCTCCTTACTATCACAATCATGCCTAACACTAAAATTTGTCCCCATAGATATAATTCTAATGTTAGCAGAACCATGACACATTATTTTCCCAATAAATTTTGGATAAGAATATTTTTTAAGCCAACTACATCTACTACAATGCAAAAGATTCCTCAACTGGTTTTGGTAGCACAACCCAGCCTTCGACATATTCATGGTTAGAGAGCTGATCTTCTACAGTTGTCAGTGAGTCATGCTTTAATTCTGCCCACAGAAGACGGACAAAAAAACCTTGCTGTGTCTATGACCTCCCTCTTCTCAGAAGAGGTGCAAAAACAATTCAACAGATTTTCCCCAGATTTCTGCGGACTGATGTGATCGGCTTAAAGTTGAAGACATTCAAAGCAGTGGAAATGCAATGTATTTTTAATGCTTTTACATGCCACAAAATCAGGGAAAAGTCATATAATAAATCATTTGTTTTTATGTAACTTTCTCTAGGGATCTGAAGAGCTATACATCATTTTATTAAATTTTTACATTTAAACTGAAGCAAGTGCTTCCAAAAATTAAATGACATTAAAAAAAGTCAAATGACAAATTAAGAAAAGAGGCCATTGCATCAACATCTACCTGTTGCATCAAATTCAATTGGCTGGCACCTGCGGTGTGAAGACCAATCACACTTGAGGACTTGCCCTCCTTCCACAATCCCTGGCTGGGTAGTGTTTGCTTTGGGTGCGCCCACCAGAAGAAACATCCTGCTAAAATACAAAAGGGGAGATGAGATTTTAAAAATGGCACAAAGCATAAACAATATCCTATGGCTTAGGAAGAGCAACAGTTCTCTTGATATTATCCACAAAAATACAGGCTGGGACAAAAGTAGGTTTACATTCGTCTGTATGATAATACAATCATTAATAAATAGTGATACAAGAATAAACTGTTTTTCATGTATTCACAACTCTAAACATACTTTCACCTTACAATGTATTTTTTAAACTCTTCACTGAGGGCATAATATTCATTATTCATCTGGAGGTCTCTAATTTACATACATTATTCAATATAGTTTATTCATCCTAAGAACATATTATAAGGCAACTTCATTTTAGGGTTCCATACCATTTAAAAATGTATACAGGTCAAATTTAAATAGTTACAGCTTATTATATGTCAATTATATTGCATTAAAGCTGTTACAAATGTATACTGGCTAGGGTCATGGAAGCTTTGTTTTGTGTGTGTGTGTGTGTGTGTATGTGTGTGTGTGTGTGTTTGCTATACACTTTCTATATCCTGAATGTCAACAGGAAAAAATGATTCTAAATAAACAATTCTGAACTATGGTAGTTCTAAATATTATCATTTTTCGATGTGTAAAACCTGTTTTATAACTACTGTACTTCAATTTTCCAAAAAACAGTGACTAACAAATTTCTCCTCAAAACATTAATCTAATTAATCCCTAGCCAAAAAATTGGATCATTATTCAAATTCCTTATCAGGGTAAAGTTATAGGAAAACAAAGTAATTGGGAGTCAATTTTTAAGTAAAAGTGATCTTGTCTTTAGTTCTTTACTACTGCAGAGAAGGAAAGGAGCTTGACAATAATTTGACAAGTCCAGTGACCAAAAGAAAACCTCACAGGGTGATCTGATCATAAATTCCTAACTGGGCAGGTCACAGCGGGTAGCCACACCCCAGTCATATAACTTCTTTAGTAAAAGGTTTATGCGTCCCTTAAGCAAGGGCTGTCCAGTGTTTTTGTGCATCTAGCATAACACACCTTTGAAATGCCTTTTCAGACCCCTCAAAATGGAAATCAGCCTCAAGAGAACAGTCTTGTTAACTACCCCATAATCCAATCTCTGCCCTGCTTTCTCCCACCTTCCTGTAACCTTCCTTATTTCCCTGCTTAATTCAAAATGCATAAAAAGGGCTGCAAACTGCCATTCAAGTAGCAGTTTACTCAGTCTGCTGAGATCTTGCTTCCACGTGGATCCTGTTTGGCTCAAGTAAATATAAAAATTCTCCACAGGTTTGGATGTTCTTACTTGAGCAATCTTAAATATGGAATGCATCCATTTTAACTTTTATTTTTCAATTTCATTTCTTGTGTGTGGTATCTGCCAAGTCATGTGCAGGGTGTTCGGGAGCTGGCTGCGTGAACTGCTGCATTACGAATATCCTGCTATCTGACGCTAATGTGCAAACTCCATATTCGAAATAGACAAAACTCTCAACAAAACCACACCCTCTTTAATAAAGCTTTATGCAGTCATACTTGGCATCAGTAAAACACCAATGCTCCACTCTCTCTTCACAGCTAAATGACTCTGGGTAAGATATCAATTTAGTTCTCATTCAGCAAAAACTTCCAAAAGAAAAAAATTAGACTATGAATAAGAGAGCCCTCACCCCCCACCCAGCTGCCATTAATAAGAAGGCAGCTTAATGTCTTCACACCCTTCTTTTCTACAGCAGAGCTGGGTAATAGCTTAATTTTGTGTATGTATGAAATTTTTCATTTCAACAGGTAAAAAATGTACCACAAAACTGACCCTCTTCACGTAAATTGAATTATTTTTGAGTGCATCATGGGGAAAAAGGACATTTCAGACAAGTGTACTTTCAGGGGCTACAATGTAAAAAGGAGGAGGGACATTTCTGCAACAGTCCTAAATAAACGTGATACGAGCACAGCTTCGCATATTTCAGTGTTGTGGGTAACTGGCCAGGTTCCAGGAGATCAGGACAGCAGAGCTGGTTCTCAGAATATGCCTAAAAACCTACATGCAGCCCTGGCCAATGTGGCTCAGCTGGAGCATCGTCCTGGTGCAGACTCGGTTCTGTTCCTGTCAGGGTGAAAGCCCAGGTTGCTGTTCAGTTCCGGTAACGGTGCGCCTATGCCGTAGGAGAGACAACCAATGATGTCTCTCTCTCTCTCATTCATGTTTCTCTCCTTCTCTCTCCCCCTCCTTTTCCTTCTCTCTAAAGTAAATAAGCATGTCCTCAGGTAAGGTTAAAAAAAAAAAAAACCCTACAAGCAAAATTCATTTCTGGACTGTCATCACATACCATGTTACACAATCTTCTAGGATTTTTTATCAAAGTTATTCTTCCCACCTGGGAAGTTACTACTTCCCAAGGAAGTAATAAATTATTCCTTGACTGTAGAGGAATCTAATTCATCTTTGTACCTGACACATAATAAGCACTCAAGAAAAATACTTTAAGTTGACAGCTGAGTAGCAAGTAAATTTGATAGCTGTAGGTATTACACTTCAAATGGCCAGGTATAAATTAGCCATTTCTACTACCCCTAACCTCTCCAGCATGTGAAGAAACCATCTTCTAATAGACATCGATTATTGAAATTATCTGTAAAATGACTTTATTTTGGATTTCACATACTTTCTCTACTTGTCTCATTAAGACAGAGAGGGCTGGCTGAGTTCTGAATGAAAACTGCGGCAGGAGTTCCTCGCCTGGCAGCCTGAGTTCCCTGAATGAGACCAAGAACAAGGCTGCTGCTTTTCATCAGACCATCTGCACATCAGAGGCCTGAAATGATGGTGCTTGGAGGTACTAATACGGGTGTTCATCCAGTTTTCCCAAGCATACCCCGTGTGCAGTCTTGCACATTGCGGAAACACCTAAAGAAATGGAAGAACAACGTAAAAGGAATGTGCGAGTGCTGTCAGTTCCTAAATGCAGGGTTAATGGGAGGAAAGAAGCTGAGGAATAAAGTTCTTCATCTAAAATGTCAACGTGTGAAGTTACTTTTCAGAGTATTACAAAGTTTTTAAAACAGAAAAATGAAAAGATGGAGAAAGTAGAATTACCTTAGGCAAATGTTAAAATCTTAAGCGGGAGCTGTGCAGAGAAACATTAAATATTTGTATAGAATAAAGGCTATGGGGTAGTAAAAGGTGCTATCTGAAAAACTGAAGAAACATAAAAACAACACATTACAGAACACTAACGCCTATTAATGTGTTGGGAGGGTGCATTTTATGTCATGTGTTGTTTTAACACAATAACAAACAAAAAGGGCCTCTTAATAAAACACTTCACAGAAAATCAAACAATTGTTACTTGAAGTTCATCCAAGAATATCTAATGAATGTCTACAATAATTTAATTAGGGAAACAGAAGTGACAGACCAGAAAAAAATGTTTGCAATACGAGCAGTATTGTCTAAGGGACACCGTTTGGGAATAAAGGTTACAATTACTGTATAAATCAACTGAGGAAGTCATTTTAAATATCTGAGTCTCAGTCTCAGATACCTCAGTTCGATGGAGATAACAATGCCAACTATAATTACCTAAAAAAATAAATTTCAGAATGTGGATAGATTAAAAGCACACTTAGAAAATCTGAAAACACCATAAACACAAGAGATAATGGCATCAGAACTAAAAACAATTAATAAAATACTCCCTAATGGCACAGGAAATATAATAGTTAAAATCTATTTTTACCGTATTTTTCCATTGCCATTTATTCCCTCAGACCCTCTTCCACCCTGCCCAAATCACTACCCTGTTGTCTGTGTCCTTGAGTTCTCTATTTTTTTCTTTTTTGCTCTATCACTGCATCTTCCACTTCCCCACAAAGCTGTCAGCCTGCTCTCCACAAGTCTGTCTATATTTTAAAATCTATTTTCAAAAGAGCTTTTCTTTCCTTGGTTTTCTCAAAGGGCCATTAATTAACACAAATGCAAAATCTCAAGGAGAAAAGAAGAAGGGTAGGAAATAGTTGTCTTGCAACATTTCCTGACCATGAGAGAAGGCTTGGGGAAGATACCCAGGGTTAGTGGAGGCCGACAGAGATTTCACTAATTAGCATCAGCAATCTGAAGCTCAGCAATTTAGTTTCCTGTGCCGGCAACCTTCTCCTGACAGACTACCTTTCCCTCCAAAAAGCTTGCCCCAACAACAGTAGCAAGACCCCCATCTTCACCATTCTTTTTAAAAGACTTGAGACATTTCCATGAAATGAGTTCAAAATTTACATGTACATACACAAGCATGCCAAGAAATTCTAAAAGATAAAGGGCAAAGTGTGTGCTTGGGGTGTGGGTAGGTGCGTAGGAGCAGATGGAGGGAGGGAGGGAGGGAGGAAGGGAGTGGAGAGGAGAGGGAGATGGGAAAGAGGGAGAAAGGGGAAAGAGAGGAAAGGAACCAAGCCAGAGGATCAGAAAAACTAACCAGGAGGATGCCCTTAGGGTGGACTTCCTACCTAAAATATTACTTTAAGGGCAGCTGCTTCAGGGAATGTGACCTTGACTACCAAAGAGAGGCAACTAGCCAAACAATGACAAGCACATTTTTTAAACCCTCCAAATGAACTCAGTTATTTGGCTGCTTTCAGCACCGACTCCTCTCTCCAAGATAAAGCATGTTTAATATATTTGGCTGACTCTGGGTTGACCAATGAGCTTTCACCAAAAGGGACTTCTGAAAAGTTATCTTATATTTTATAAAAAGAAATGTGTATAAAATTTTAGAACTGAATGTTACTTCAGAGCTATTTGCTTTTCATTTTAAAAAATGCTATGGAGTCCATCTATTTATGTAAAACAGATGCAGTAACTATAAATTGTATACATTTTCCCTTCTCTTTTATAATGTCCTATAAACCTCGAGCCTTGACTTGGAATAATCAACATAGGGATTAATTTCTAAATAACGCTCTATTCTATGCATGTGTATTGTTTATGGCAAGAAAAAAAGAATATAGCCAGCACCACACTAAAGTTCATGAAAATGAGCTGGTGTCATTTTGTAGAGTTTTGAAGATGGTTACAATGGTGAGGGGAGAAATAGAACATGAGCTTTTATTTATGTATTTATTATTCTTTAATCCTCACCCCAGGAGGATATGTTTTATTGATTTTAGAGAGATAGGAAGGGAAGAAGGGAAAGGGGGAGGGGGGAGGGGAGAGGGGAGAGGGAGAGGGAGAGGGAGAGAGAGAGAGAGAGAGAGAGAGAGAGAGAGAGAGAGAGAGACATCAGTCCGTTGCTTCTCAAATGTGCCCAGCTGGGGATTGAACCCGCAACCTAAGCATGGTAACCTAACCAGGATCGAACCCTCAACCTTTTGGTGAATGAGAACACTACTCTCATTAACTGAGCCACCCGGCCAGGGTGGGACATGAACTTTTTACTTTCTTCATCTTTCCATTTTTCTGTTCTAAAAACTTTGTAATATTCTGAAAAGTAATTTCACATGTTGACATTTTAGACAAAGAACTTTAAAAGTACATGCAGACTGGGACAAATTGAAAGGGGTCTTCACCCACATTAAGTAGTTTGGGCTGTCTCTCTGGCCATGGAAGAAGCACTGCTGAGGGAATTTTAGCAGCCAAATACCCAGATCAAAAAGATGCTTCAGAAAGATAAAACTGTCACAAACATGTAAGATGTGTTGCAGGTGTAAGAGCCAAATGGTGAGCAAAGAGATGAAAACCTGAATGCCACAGGCCACATCTGTGATGGCTGGGCTAAAATAAGGAGGTGGTAGCAGAAGTGGAAAGCAAGAAACATTAACAGGCAAGAATTTCTAAGACCTTCTCCCTGATGACTAATCACGGATTAATATTAGGAGAGTGCAGTTATGGAAACAAAGAAAAATGGAAAATGAGAGGGAGGAATATGAAATTATTTCCAGGGCAACAGAGAAAATGATGGCACCATTAATAGAAACAGAGGTGTAACTGACATCTCTTGGTGAAAAAGAGTTTTAGTCAGATTGAGGTAGAACTGGCCAGTCAAGCAGAAATGATCCACAGGCTGTTGGAATATGACCTTTGTGCCCTACTTTTGGACCTAAGATGCCCCCAGGGCAGCAGTTTTATTTCGAATGCTCTTCAGGTATTACAAACAGGAAGTTAGGATTGAGAACCACTAACTATCCTGCAGGACCTTCTGGGACCAAGGCACACTCACCCACACTTTGCCCTTGGGGTCAGAGAAACTCAAAGTAACTGTAAATGGGCTCCAGTAGTGTTTCATAGGGGAAAGGGCAAGAATTCTAATCCAGTGTTTCTTATTATAGCATTATTTAAAAGTAAATATATAGGTACAATGAAGACTAATATAACATGGTTGGAGAATAAATAAGAAAACTATTCAACTTTCTTCCTCAAATTTTAAAATATGAATATAAAAGTTAAATGGAATTAGAATTTCACACAATCTCTTTTTTAATCACACCTTGCCTCCTACCCCACACACTAACCCAAACAACTAAAGCCTGTAAATGTTTCTGGCCTCAGCTTCCCCATCTGTAAGAATGAGTTTGTCTGCTTCCCCTGGTGGTTTGTGCATAAAGTGAAGTAAGATATCCTAAGTAAAAGTGCTTTGTGTATTACAAAATAGGTCAACCAATGTAATATATCATTATTATCATTAAACCTAGGATGCAATTTTTAATTTCTCCAAATATTCTCGACAAGAAAAACATGACTTTACTTCATGGCCCATAAATGATCTTTAAACTAAATAAGTGTGGCAATATGGCCACCATAAATTAAGGCATACAGGAAAAGACAATAAGAAATGCTTATTTTTATTTACATAATTTTTAAATCACTATTTTTGTGACTTTTTGCTTCATACTTAAAACTTCTGGAGTATTTTCTTGAGGAGTCATCTTAATATTTTTATTAGTGCCTTGTTTTTCCTTTTCTTTAATAAACATTGATTCATTAGTTTTCACAATATGGAAATAATTCAATAATGATTTTCTATGACAAGAAAAATTAGAAGACATAAAACAATTCTATAGCTTGCCATTGGCATTTAGACACCTACAGAAACTGGAACAGCAAAAAGAGACTTTATTACCATCGCTTCCTCATTAATCCAGGAATTCCTCCTTCAGAAGAAAGGAATCTTAAACACTTTTTTATTATGTGGATTATTTTTCCTTTAGAAGTTTATGATCACCCCAATTAACTACAACAATGCAGCTGGCAGTATTATAAATGGCATCCCATGTACTTTGGATTCCACTGCTTGCTACATTTTAAAGTGCCTTTTTAAAAAATTAAGCACAATTTTGCATTATTCTTTGCTAAAGCTGACAAGCTTAGTAACAGAAACCTTTGTTTATATATACTGTTTTTTAAAAAACCTCAAAGTTGATTTCTATTTTTTAGATTAGGCTATACCTAGAGCTTACCAGTCTAGCAGTAACAAAGTCACTGATGACGATTTCAAGTTATTACATGAAACCAAACCAAGTTTAATTCTACCTTACTTTTGAAGGCCCATGTGGGAGGTGCTGTAAACCTGTGAGGTCATAGTATATTCGACAACTACAATGACTAATCAAAGATTAGTCACCATCCTACTAACCAAAAACAGTAAATATCTCAGGCTAACAGTTCAATATTACTGCATTTCCCATAGTAAAAACACTTAAAGTTTATCCTCTCGTCCTGTATCTTTACACTACTAACCTCAGGGGTTGCCACCAATCAAGAGCAACATTTGCAAAACACTCCATCAATTATGAAGTTTATTAAGTGCTAACTCTTGCTAAGTACTAACTCTTGACACAAGACAATACATTCTCAAAATTACTAGAATTTCTGTACAAATTAAATCTAAAAGAGCAACACTGGGAGCAACTAAAATCCTCTGCGGCATAAAGACATAAACTTAAAAATATCTGGAAACAAAAAAAAAATAACAGATAAAGCTGACAAATGATTACATCAAAGAGAAGGTAGTAAAAAAAAAGAGAGAAAGTCGCCTAAAGTTAATGATTACTTCGATTATTTTAGAAAATCTGTGCTCAGGTCTCTCAGAAAGCACCGAAGCTGAAAACGACAGAGTTCACTACATAAAGCAACGTCCGCTTCCACTGCCTGCTTCCAACCTATCCACGGCGGCAGTGGTGGTCACCAAAATGAGTGATATTCTGCTACTCCCAGAAAGACTATGAGAATGAATCCCGGATGCATGGTCTAACAGTCATGGAAAAATATTTAGATCACCTTCAATTTAGACATGTGTAAACTGGAAAAATGCTCCTATCTAGCTACTAACCATCAAAATGATCGTCCCTCTCCCCCCCAAAAACAGCACTTTAAAACAATGAGAAACCTAAGTATGTTGTACAGTTTCTAAGAACTTAGAAATTCATCCTCTCCAAAACAAGATTTAAACATCAGAAGACATCCCATGAACGCTTATTAAATCGGTATTTCTAATGCTAATATGGAGGTGGGCTAGGGAGAACGATGCCAGCGTTCCGTCAAGTCAGAGACAACTTCTAGTCCAATAATGGCAGTAAGTCTGTTACAAATCCTGTTTTTGCAACGTTAGTAATTTGAAAACATAACTGAATTCTTAAATACTGCAGTATTCAAATGACCTGTAGTGAAAACTCAGCAAACATCCTTCTTTCCGAACAATGACCTAAATAATGAATCACTATAAAAAGAACAGATGACACATTCAATTCACTACTCGCCCTCAAATGTGCAAAGGTCTGACATCCCAGAGATAGGGGACAATGAATTTACTATGACAGTATGGTCACTTTAGTCACCAGAATGTCTGGAAGAGGAGTAAATGAGGGGAAACGAATCAGCCAGAAAGGCGGAAAGAGGCGGGGGAGGGCTTGTTTAGGGAAAACCAAAAGAACCCGTGTTAAATCTATGAAGCAAAAAACGGCTACCGGGAAGGATGAGAAGTACCTGAGAAACAGAACTTCGTGGATGAAACTGACTACATCTCGAACACTGGGAGAGGCGGCGCAGAGTCCCGCCAGACCAGCCTTTGTTGATCCTCCACTTTCCCTGAGTTTTAAGCACAGGTCTGCTTCAAAGATCTCCCTCTCGGGAGAAGAGAGGAGGGAACTAGGTGGTTGGTGGGTGCCAGGGGTTGGAGGAGTTTCATCTGCCCAAATGTTTCATCCACCCAGAACCTAAACCAGCTTGTGGGGGTCGGGGCAGGGGCAGGGGCAGGGGCAGGGGCGAGGGGCGAGGGCGGGGGACGGGCAGCGATGCGGACAGACAGAAGCCGGCACCTCTGCTGGAAGCGTCTCTCCCGGAGATCTCTCTCCCTCTGGGGGAATGCAGGGTGAGTGTGCGCAGTGGGGGAGGGGGTCGACTCCCCTTCCTAGAGGGGCTACTTACGAAGACGCGCTGGGCACGAAGAAATCGACAGCGAAACCAAAGTAACTTCCTTCTGGGCCAGAGTACTCGGCAGGGCTGTCCACATCTAGGTTGAAGGCGCTGCAAACAGACAGCAGGAATCCAGGGAGAAGAAGCAGAAGGCGGCAGGGGCGAAGGCGAAGCCACCGCCGCGGTGGAGAAGCCATCGCTGAAGTGCGCGCAGGGCGCCGAGTCCAGAGCCGCGGCCACCCCAGCCGGAGCGCACTGAGCCCGCGGCCCGCCGCCAGCGCGCGCGCGCGGAGACCTGCGGGCCTCTAGCTTCCCAGCAGTCCCAGACAGCGCCCTGGCGGCGGGAGGGCTGTGCTTCGCTGCGGCCGCGGGGGAAGTGGGGCGCAGGGCGCGGGGCGGGGGCAGCAGCGCGGGACTGCGGGAGTGAGCGCCGCACCCCCCTGCTGCCAGAGTGCAGCGACTGCGCGGGGGAGGAGGCAGAGGAGGAGGAGGAGCCGGGTTGGTAGGCTGAGCCGCCTTGCGGGAGGAAGTGCCGCTGGAGGAGAGTCTTCCTCCCCTGGGGCGAGACCGATTGCACTTCCTAGCGAGCTGTCGCCTACTGTCCCTGGAACAGGGCGTCTGTACGGAGGCCCCAGACCCTCAGAGTCCGGGTCGCCGTCGGCAGCGCTCCTGGTGGTCCAAACCCGCCTGCGTCCCGAGTAGCACCAAGGACACCCCTCTTCCCCGGGTCCTGCCAGGAATTCCCGTGCGACTTTTATTTTAAAATGAGGAAAGCTTTATCGGCTTCTCCTGTTTCTGCTACTTAAAAGCCTTAGCAGGCTCTCACAAACGAAACTCCGTAATTAGTGGTCGTTTTCCTCCCCATTCAATCCCACACACAAACACTGAACTTAATTATAAACTTGCAGAATGCTAGCACAGCCTCTTTCCCGAGGAGCTGTGTTAAAGCCTAACTTCAGCGGTCCAGGAAAGGACTGACAAGGCAAAGAACTGGAAAAAAAAAATTTAAATCAAGCCAGACTAGTTAAAACGTTATTCCTACTTTATTAGCTGAAGTCGTATGATTTGTTATGCTCATCGATTTAGGGAATTTGGGTAGAAACACAATTTTAGAGTAGGAAGAAAGAATATGAACGCACCCCTTTCTTATGAAATAAGGCCCCTTGGGCTTGCTTGCCCTTGGTATGTTGCACCATGCCCAGAGACTGAGAGACTTCCTTGAGGTCAGGAACCTTGACCTTTTTCTTTGTATTCCCAAATCTTAGCACCTTGCCAGGCAGAGAGTAAGCCATCAATAAAATGTTGAATGAAAGAAAGAAGGAATGAATGAATGAATGAATGATGAAATAATGAGTAAACTTGTCCAGAGAAGTGACTTTCCCATATTGTGTATCACTAACTAAAGAACCTGGTGAATAAGAGACTTCAGGTCAGGATAGCAGAGTAGGTAAACCTGGTACTGGCATCACCCCACACCACATAAAAATTACAACTAAACTGCAGCTCTACCATCTTTGAGAACCACATGAAATCTAGCTGGAGGGAAGTCCTACAACTAATATATAGAAGAAGCCACATGGACGGTGGTAGGAGGGAGGAAAATGCAAGGGGCTGGTCCCACACCCATGCATGTGAGTTAAATATTAGAAGGGATATCTCAGCTGTAGAGGTCCCCACTGAGGAGGGAGGGGTCTCAGAGTAAGGGGTCTCAACCCCATGCTGGGCTCCCAAGCCCAGGGTTGCAGTGCTGGGAAGAGAAGTCCCCATAACTTCTGGCTGTTTAAACCAGCAGAGAAGGTGGGTGAGTAAGACAGGGTACTACTGGAGTCTCAGGCCTTCCTCTTCAAGGGTCTGTGCACAGGCTTACACAGACTCATTCACTCTGAGCCCCAGCACTGGGACAGAAGCTCAGAAGGTACCAGGAACATATGGGGAGGAACTGAATTGTGTAGCTTTAGGACGAGGGCTGAATGGGCCACTTTCTTAAGACAGAAGTCCTGGTAGAACCCATTGTTCCTTTGCTCAGCCCTCCCAGTCCAGGCACAGGCAGGGACCATATCTGAGTCTCCATCAACCTGACCTACAGTGTTCCTCCTGCCCTAATGACTCCCTGAATCCCTACCCCACTCAATCTGAGGGCCTACCCAAGCTGTTCCAATAGCTTTTCCTTGCAGATAGTATGTCTTGACTCATGCAGTGGACTTTCCTAAATTCTCTCAAAGATTCACAAACGCCAAACAAGCAACATCTAGCCCCAGTGTGTCACATACCTCTTGCTAAATGACCCTAGGCCCAGTACTAATGGCAGGCAGTTGAACTCCATGCACAGCTTGCCTTCCCTGGGCACCTCCAGGCCCAGCACAAGTAGCAGCCATCTGCAGATTGCTTTGTAGCTCATGCCAGGTGACCTGGCCAGTGGCAGTGGCTGACTTTGGCCTGTACCTCCCAGGAGGCCCTAGAGTCAGAATACCAAGTGGCCAGCTTCAGACTATGCCAGGGCACCACCTAACCACTTCTATGAACAGCACACTCAAGGGGCAGATTCAGCAAGTACCAGAGCTCCACTGAAACAAATTCTGCTCTGTGGGGTTGGCCACTGCACAGCAGTTCCTCCACTGTAGTCATGCCTGGTCCTCGTAGCTAATCAGCCTGCAGGTCAAGCCCTCCCATTGATGTGCCAACAGCAATCAAAGCTCAGCTACAACAGAAGGGTGCACACAGCCTCTATGTAGGGAGCACCTAAAGCACCTGCTCAGGTGACTGGGGAGGCTGTGCCACTGAACCTTACAGGACACCTACTACATAAGATCACCCTACCAAGACTGGGAGACATAGCAGATCTACCTAATACATGGAAAAAACACAGAGAAGCAGCCAAAATGGGGAGACAAATAAACATGTCCCAAATGAAAGAAAAGAGAAATCTCCTGGAAAAAAAAAACCTAAATGAAATGGAGGCAAGCAAGCTACCAGATGCAGAGTTCAAAACAATGCTTATAAGAAGGCCCAAAAAAGCTTAATGAAAACTTCAGTAGCATAAAAAAAAAAAGACTTGAAAACCATACAAAGAACCAGTCAAAAATGAAGAATACCTTACAGGGAATCAAGCCAGATTAGATGAAGAACGTGATCAAATCAGCAATTTGGAAGACAAGGTAGCAGAAAACACCCAATCAGCACAGCAAAAAGAAAAAAAAAATTTTAAAAATTAGGGTAGTATAAGGGGCCTCTGGGACAACATCTAGCAAAACAACATCTGCATCATAAGTGTACCAGAAGGAGAACAGAGAGAGCAAGAAAGTGAGAACCTATTTGAAGAAATAATTACTGCAAACTTCCTAACCTGGTGAAGAAAATAGACATGCAAGTCCAGGAAGTGCAGAGTCCCAAAAAGGCTGAACCCAAAGAGGCCCACAGCAAGACAAATCATAATTAAAATGCCAAAGGTTAAAGACAAAGAGAGAATCTTAACAACAGTGAAAGAAAAGCAGTTAGTTACCTACAAAGGAGCTCCCATAAGATTGTCAGCTGATTTCTCAAAAGAAACTTTGCAAAGCATAAGGAATTGGCATGAAATATTCAAATTGATAAAAAGCAAGGACCTATAACCAATATTACTCTACCAGCCAAGCTATCATTTAGAATCAAGGACAGATAAGGAACTTCCCGGACAAGAAAAACCTAAAGGAGTTCATCACTACCAAACTTCTATTACAAGAAGTGTTAAATGGTTTTCCTTGACCAGAACATGAAAAAAATTAAAAATATGAATAATAATAATTGCCTTGGCTGGTGTGGCTCAGTGGATTGAGTGCCAGAGTGAGAAGCAAAGTGTTGGCGGGTCAATTCCCAGTCAGGGCACATGCCTGGGTTTCAGGCCAGGTCCCCATTAGAGGGCACATGAGAAGTTTCTCTCCCTTTCTTTCTCCCTCCTTTCCCCTCTCTCTAAAAATAAATAAATAAAATATTTTAAAAATATGAATAATAAAATCACAATAAATACATATCTATCAACAATTAATTTAAATGCTAATAGATTAAATACTCCATTAAAAAGACATAGGATGGCCCAATGGATAAAAAAACAAGATCCTTATATAGGCTGTTCACAAGAGGCTCAATTCAGATCGAAGGACACACACAGACTGAAAGTAAAGAGATGGAAAAAGATATTTCATGAAAATGGAAACAGACAAAAAAGCTAGGGTAGCAATACTTATATCAGACAAAATAGACTTTAAAACAAAGGGCATAACAAGAGATGAAAAAGGACTCAGCAATTCCACTTCTGAGTATTTATTCAAAGAAACCCAAAACACTAAATCAAAAAGACATATGCATCCATATATTCACTGTAGTATTATTTAAATAGCCAAGATATGAAAGTGACTTAAGTGCCCATCAGTAATGAATAAATAAAGAATTGGTGCATATATACAATAGAATATGACTCAGTCATCAAAAAGAATGAAATCTTGCCATTTGCAATAACATAGATGGACCTAGAAGGTATTGTGCTGAATGAAATAAATAAGACAACCCTGGCTGGTGTGGATCAGTGGGTTGAGCACCAGGCTGAGATCTGAAAGGTCACTAGTTCAATTTCTGGTCAGGGCACATGCCTGGGCTGCTGCCAGGTAGGGGGCTTTTCTCCCTTTCTTTCTCCCTCCCTTACCCTCTCTCTAAAAAGTAAATAAAATATTTTAAAGAAAGTAATAAATCAGACAAAGACAAATACCATATGATTTCACTTATATGTGGAATCTAAAAAACAAATGGACAAGCAGAATAGAAACAGACTTATAGACACAGAAAACATTTTGACTGTTGCCAGATGGGAGAGGGTTGAAGAGTGAGTGAAAAGGGTGAAGAGAGCAAGACGTACAAATTGGTAGTTGCTAAAGAGTGATGGGATGTAGAGTACAGCATAGAGAGTATAGGCAGTAATATTGCAATAAGTACGTATGGTGTCAGATGGGGTGGTCACTTCGTAAGTCATATAAATATCTAATCCCTGGGCTGTACACCTGAAACTGATATAATACTGCACATCAACTGTAACTGAAAAATCTAAAAAATTATTTAAATAAAGAAGTTAGTGAACAGACTGAAAGTATAAATACATTGTGTGGACCTTAAAAATTTGCAAGCACTAGAAGAATAAATTCAGATTGTTTTCCAAAGTAACTATTAAAACTTAATCACAATGCATATTAACCTAGAAAGCTCTTTATTGATCCTGTGAAGCGAGATTATATATAAATGAAAGGGACATGGACAACAGTATGGTGATTGCTAGGGGGAGGAGGTAAAAGAAGACTAAATGGTAATGGGGAAAAAACACAATAAAGATTAAAT